ATAATATGCATTAAGATATTTATTAATATATTATATATATATATCTCCCCTCTAGAGAGAATTTCTGACCAGAACAGTAAAATCACAGAATCCAGCTTTAGGACGTCATCATAAACATTCAACAACTTTTTCAACTGAGCCATCAGTTCGCTTACAAAATTTCTCCCCCTAATTAGTGAACATTATTCTACACTGTGACATGGCATCTTCAAGAGTTAAAGTGTTTGTTAATCATGAATACTTGAGTCTTAACATTGAAAGAAATAAATTACATCACAGTAACTGTTTGCAGATATTGTTTATCATTAAGATGGAGTGTTGGACTGTCATTCCCCCCCCCCTTTCCAATTAACTCCCATTTATAAACCTCCTTAATTAATAAAAAGCAAAGGGTTTATTTAGTGTACAGTACTAGCTTAGTGTCATTTCTTACAGTGAGACTATTTATTTAAATTACTATTAGAGTTATCATGAAAAAAAAAAATCTGATGACCTTTTATAAGTTATTAAAATAGGAAAGAAGACTTATAAATTTAAATGGTTGTTATCAGAGGGATATTAACAAGCCGCCAACACTTGAACTTTAGGAAAAGGTTAAAGTAAGAAAATATCAGGCATAGATTTGTGGTGTTTTTAAAAATATTTGAGAAAATGATTAATCTAACTACCGATAATTGACAACCAACTTTATTTAAATATATCATGATAGGGATTATATAATTTTGTATTATTGAGAATTGGTGATAATTTCCACTTGTTTGTTAATTAAGTAATAATGCAAAAAAATATTTGATATTCTTATTATATTGAAAAATGTGTTTTGATTATTGAAAATTGTCATTAAGTTTAACTTCTTTATAATTCATTTATCATTATGTAAGTTAGTGTAATAATTTTACAGAAAATGGACCCCATTGGAAATAAGCTTTTAGCTTAATGGGCAATCCTAGGGTTACATAGAACATACTTATTGATTAATTGTATAATTATTTTTGTGCATTTATGTGTGTGTTTTTATTTATATTCAAGTTGATATCTGTGATAAAATTGTATGTGTATACATGTATGTCTATCCCTGAATAAATCGATACGATTCTTTTTATATTTTCAAAAATTTGCATGAGATTTAAAGAGAAAAATATTCTTGATATTAATCATGCAGTATTTCTCTATCTACTAAATTTAGATAAAAAATAAAAAATTGAAGGATTTTTAAAATTGCATTACATACATAAATTTACCACTTGGGATTTATATTCAAAAAGTGTTAAGAATTATTCCAATTTCCGTTTATTTATAACAAACTTCTATCGTCCTGGGTAACTCAGTTTTCTTTTTCTATCATTTCAAAAAGAGTGGAATAGGGGCTGTTGATTAATATTATAAGCTTTATTACTGTTAGTATGGAGTAAAATCTAAATGATCATAAGTTAACCATACGCTAGGTATAATCATCAGGTCAGAATTTCACCAGACAAAGACTCCTCGGCCAAAATTTTCATGAAGCCAAATCTGTTTTTCCTTGTGTCATTTGACTACATGAATCATCTTCATGTTACAAAAAAGTAAAGCTGATTACTGTAGACTTTATCAGGTGTCAAATGTGTGCTGATCTTCACAAGTCAAAACCCGGATACCCATGTCAAATGATACAGTAAAGAGGTTTGTTTATTCAGTTAGTGTTAACAACATGTTTTTTTACCATAATACAATGTACATGGATGATATTTTGACAAAGGTAATATATCCTTGTGAAGTTGAAAATAACTAAAACAACAATCAGAGTCATCATTGAAAGAAACTAGTGTGTAGTTATTTGATGTGGGGAGATTGAAGATTAGTAATGTACTGAATGATTCCTGTTTAATAGTGTGGTTGAAAGACTCGAATGATGCAACTTCTTGTAATCAAAAGCATAAAAAGAAAACTGAGGTTTGCCTTAGTAAAATTACTAGGCCAAGCAAACTTATCTTTGTTTTTTATTTGTTTCTTTCTTTGTTTAAAAAAAAAAGAAAGAAACTTGATTGTTGCAGTCTTGCATTTATATTAAATGAAAGTATTAATGGTAATTTAATTAGGTCAATAAAATTTAAATATATTGGCATATATTCATGATTGAAGCTAGTATATTTAAATGAACAAGTTTCAACATTGTTGCAAACATAATCATATAAGGATTCATGAGAAATTTCAATGTTTTCCTGATCAAGTAAACTGGTTTATTTATTTATCTTTATCATGGTCAAATGTTATGAGTTATTTTTAATAAATATTAAGTGGAATAGGATATTAAAGTTGTTGAATAACCAGTACAATCAGTACAAGTTAATTGTTTTAGCTCCATGTTTTGAAGAAAAATTGGTGTTATTGTCATGACATAAAATGCATTAATCTGGGCAACTTCAAACCATGGATGCACCTTGATGAGCTCTACCATCCAAACTTATTTACAGGTCAAAAAGTCAAAGTCACTAGGACTTGTAAAAACAAATCATAAAAAGTGGCCATTGAATAAAAGTGCATTGACCAAGTAACTTCGTTGTGAATGAACCTTGAAAGTCCTACTTCCCATACTTATTTTAAATAAAAAGTCAAGGTCACTATAATGATCTTTGTAAGCTTTTTTGATCAAGTTTTTGTGTATATCACTATATGATAATAAATTATTAATAACTGTTAGTGATTTTTCTCACTAAGTTGGGGAGAGGCCTTAGCCACTTGATTTTGGGAAAAATTATCGCTAAAATGCTAATTTTGGAAATAAAAAGCAGGTTTAAGTTCAGATGTTTGGAAAAACAGCTAGATTTTAAAGAAAATTTCAATTGGGAAGAGGCCTTTTATCAGAGTCTATAATATAAGCAGGAAAATCACTGACTGTAATAAATAACTATTATAAATATGATACGGATGTATCTGTATGTCATGCCAATTTGTTGATATATATATTTATTTTATAATTGTTCTATCAATATAGTACTTATATTTATGTACTTGTACCTGTTGCATTCTGTTTATTTGTCACATTTAGTGTATAGTGTTTATATTTTCTTAATTTCATACTTTTAACCATGATATTGTTTCTATTTAAAACTATATACATTATGTATTTATTATACAGAAACTGTCCTTATGAAAATGTCAGGTTGTCTCCTGAGCAACAGGTGCTTAGGTCAGTTTGACATTCAACTGAGAAATATATAACAAAAAAGGCAATGTTACTATTGTATAATTTGTTAAAATGTCAATATTTATAGCATTAAATGTTAGTGTTTGTGACAAGTACAGTTTTCCTGTTTTATTGCTATTTCTTAATAGTAATGCCATTCTATAATTATAATAGGGCTCAAGTTTTAGATGTGTCTGTACATGTACATATAAAAGGACCTGGGGTCCAAGTCCTGATGACCCTGTTTATAAATGTGACAGGAGTTCTATTTAAGTTCGGAGCAGACTGTTTGTATTTTCAATTTTACATCATATCGTCGGTGGGCTTCGAAAAGGCCCTATCTGCAAAAGTGCTACTTTTCAGGAGATGGAAACAAACGATTAGTTTGGTATGGAAACACCTACAGAAATAAAATTAACAGATAATAATGAACATTTAAATTCATTTCAAATACATTTAATTTGGTTATGATAAACCCTGTCGTTTCATAAAAAATGCTCATACGTCCTTTTGACGTGGCAAACATTGCCAAATACGTGTCTCAAATGGCCTTATAGGGCCCTTTCGCACACGTTAACATACTCTTGTTAGGTTCATAATGGCATTACGAGACACATTTACCAGTACTATTCATCAATGTTCCTAAAGAAATTCAAGGATTTTGGGAATAAAGTGTTATTATGTTTTAAGACGACAAGAAATATTAAAAAATGAAACGAAAAACTACAAACATTCCGAAACATAAAACCTTTTAATATGTAGTCAATTTGGCTTCACCAATAAAAGTATACTGCCTAAACAACCAATATTACCTTTTCTATTATTTACCATACAGATAAAAAACATCAATCCTAATACCAAGTTCTTAAGTTCTAAGAGCTTCATGCCTTCAGATAAGCAAAACATTTTTAAAAAATGTAAAACAATTTGAAGGAAAGTATAATGATTTAAGTAACAATTTACATTTTTTTGGTCGATTAATTACTGTTTTACATTTTTATTACAAAATTTTATTGCATGACTAACACAGTAGGTGCTACCTTTTCATATTCTGTTCTCTATTTGATATGTAAAGTGCTGTTTGAACTTTGTTTCATTTTGTTGTTGTTGTTAACTTCACAGTATTTTAACATTTTAAAAAACATTTCAAAATTTTAGTGAAAATAACCATGAATCTGGATATATACTGTCAATTAAAAACAAAACATTTCGTAAAATAAGCATTTAGCATTTTTCTCATCATAACTCTCTATATAATAAACAGTCATGTTATTAATATGCTGCTACATGACATACAAAAAAGTATTAAGCAAACACTAGAAGTGTCACATCAAAAGCACCAAGTCATATTGTTCTAACAAGTATTTCCCTGTCTAATGGTTTCATACGATATCGTAAAGTTCTTCAAGAAATCATGCCTATATTGTTATTAAACCTCATATGGGTAATTCGCGCGAGCAGTTTTAAAACCGTGAGTGTCAGTGACCGTTGACTTCAAAGCACTTGTCCTCACCACTATGGGTTCGAATCCTGACAGAGACTTTGGATTATTTCATGTGAGAAAGCTATCAAGATAGCTTAAAGAACGTCTGTGGTTCTACTTAGGTGCCCGTTCGTGCCTGAAATAATGAACGGAATGGCAACTGAAGTATTTTTCCATCAGTAAAGCTGGAACATCGCCATATATGACCTGTACTGTGTCGGTGTAACGTAAAACCCAATCAAACAAACATAGTTAACAAGATAATATATAAGTGTGATTTTTAAGTTTCCGTTCAATTTGACTATAAACTACGCCCACCTCCATCTGAGCCTGACCTTATTGTATAAGCTTCTGTGTTATATTTGCAAGTCTTTACTAAGAATTTCCAAGTGTCACTTTTTGGTATTGGTAGCAACACCTGTAAATCTATATCACTATTTCTTTTACTTTATTGTCTTCAGTCAAGATGTTCTCCAAGAATTTTTTTAAAGAAAACCATGATACTTTTGCATTGTTCACATAATGTTCCGGTTTCTCTTTTTCAAATGAGTTTACAGTAGATTGACGACCTTGGCCATTTACTGGACTTTGAAAGAATAAATAGTGTCCTTCTCAGTCGCATTTAGACTGAAGTCAAACAGACACGTAAGATAAAACCGCAAGCCCTTTCCCTACGGTTTAAGCCACACGAGATCACTGAAGTCTTTCAAAAGTAGGATTTCTGGCAGAAGTTTTTCTCATCTTTTGTAAATAGATTAAATGTTATTGTCATCACTTTGCAGTTGTTACAAATCAAATAGTCCAATAATTCAAAATTGAAATATTGAACATTTATCAAGATAGTGGTCATCAGACACCTGTAATAACGTGAAATGGTAGAAAACAATTTAATGATTATAAAATGAACGTAGCAACCATCTTACATAACATCCCAGTTAAGTCTGATGATTATCAGTACGTGCCTGGTCTTTAAATAACTCTTAATTATAATCTTAATGAGAATCCTTACAAAATAAATAATTGCAAATCTATGTGGTATTCAGACAATTAAATATTTATTTATTTATTTATTTAAATTTACAAGTAGTTGCATATTTATTTATGTAAATATTACCTTTTTAAAGAACACTATATGTTATTTCTCCGAGAAAATAAATGTCTACCAGTCTTGGGTGTGATTGTAATCTTTAAACATGCTGAAAATATAAATAAAAGTGATGTATGAAAATAAGGAACATAAATATTGTCTTACAAAATATATAAGAAAATGCCTTATAAGACAAACCTTACCAAAAAATTAGCATGCGAAAATGCCCTATTACTTATAAAAGTTATTTTAACAGCTTTAATGTAGCTCAGATTTATCAGTTTTATACATTTTGGTGTAAAGAATGAAACTAAAATCTAAGGTTTAAGAAAAACAAGTTAAAAATAGTTTTCTTAGCTAAAATTTAACCTAGCCGACAAGTGTTGTATGTGAAATCCCCATTACCCAATGTATTGATGATTTTATGTATCATATAACTACATACTACACGAAACACATCATTATTTCCACTGTCAAAAAGAAAAAGCATACCTGATCTTTGAAACTTTCATAAGAAAATCCGAGTTTTCTCCGTTTTTACTTTCTAATTTCACTCCTAAAAATTATCGGGCATTTTCGCGGAACAAATTTTTCATCCAAAAATTATACGTCTTTTTCTCACATGGCAATAAATTCACTTTCCGATTGGCTATCTAAACGGGTGTTTTCGCACAATGCGCGCCTCGGTTTGTTTGTCAAGAAAATGACCTAAAACGATTTTCGCAAAAATTGAGATAGGGCCTTTTCGAAGCCCACCGACGATATACCAGCTAGAATAATAACTTTTATCACACACCCGTGCCGATTTTGCGACTCCGTAAATATGGTATTGCACGGCCGTGCATATATTTTGACGTGACGTCATTAGCGTTATACAAACATAGTGTAAAGACGCGCTAAATGTTAGCGTTATACTATAGGCGCGTCAACGTAAAATGACTCTTATTTCACTTTAAACGGTCTTTATTTTTGGTATGTGATAAATAGAATATTAAATTTGTGTAAGTTCATTACTGAATTTATTGTACTCGTTGAATAAAATAATATTATGCTCGCCAGAGGCTCGCATAATATAATTTTATTCAACTCGTGCAATAAATTCAGTATTGAACTTACACTCATTCAATATCCTCTATAGACACTTGAACGTTAAACGTTTATAAAGATAATAATAATGATCTATTTATCAATTTTGAGCATAATATATTAAAATTCAAATTTGACTTAATATGCAAATTTATGTGGCATTTTCAAATTAAAATGCACCAATGACAGAGATAAATCTATTGTAAACTTCATATCAAGATTCACAGATCATATTACATTTTTACTGGATTGTTGTGTGATAAACAATGATGCAGTTTTGTTGGCCTTAAATAGGTAGATTATATAGTTGCATCATGTTTTGTTATTATTGTTATAGTGGCCCGGGTATATTTTTTACCCGACTGCCAGTTTGAATAATAGAATATTAATTGAGAGAGAGGATGTATAAGGTCAGTTTTGAGTTTTATACCTAGGATATTATGATACAGACAAGATAGGTAAGTTCAAAACAATGAATTACTTAAATTGATGTCTTAATGTTATTTTTTTCTTTATAGTTTAATGGTCATTTGTCTCTCACCGCTGACCGCTGATTTAGAAATCATATATGAGGTTAGTAGTTGGTCATTTGGGAGAAATTGATAATTACTGACTAGTTTATAAGTTATCCAGGAAATTCAGTTTGGTAGATGGAACTAAATATGTCTGTGGAAATGTTTCATTATTTGACAATGATCAGACAACATACTGAAATACTGAAAAGTACCAATCCACAGACAGATGTATGCAAGTTGGTACCTTGACTCTTGTTTTACTATCAGACTCAAACATGTAGAATATTCAAGCAGGCTGTCCTACTGTCAGCTCTTGTTACTGGACCATTTCTTTACTTGCTCACAGTGTTCTATTTGTAAAGTAACTTGTGGAAAAATTACACTTGTCTATACAGATTGTGGGTCAATCTAGGCAATACAGACATTGAATTGATTTGCCATCTGTCATGTTATTCTCAGATTCTGATATTTTAGTGTTTTAGTGTTGTCCCACTATTTTGGTTTAAGTTATGTGACAAATTTACATTTAAGAAGTACTGGTATAATGGATCGGGTCTAATAATCTGGATTAGCCAAAAGTCAATCAGTGTGTCAGTTTTTCTCTTTGTTTCCTATTATGTTTTACTGTTAGGCTATTTCCTATTATACATATATATTTTTTTTGCACCTCGGTGTCTAATCATGGGCAGTATAGGTGTCCCATGCATGCATAATAATAATAATAATAATAATAATATCTTTATTTAAAGAAGGTTACACATTAAGAACATACAATAACAATCATATATATCTTATTTCCAATGTGGCCATCTGAAATAGAAAACAACAACAACAACAACAACAGGATATGCATAGGTAGAAAAATGAGTGTATAATATGTAATTTTTAGAATAATACAACTCATATACTTTCGACAGACACTCAACAATTTGTTTAAACATATACGTATATTGCATCATTCGTTCGTTCGTATATATTTATTCATTCATTCATTCACTCATATGAACATCAAGATATGCTTTGTATTTTTCTTTAAAACATTTAAGATTATTAACATTACGAATATTTAATGGTATATTGTTCCAAATGTTCATGCCATAATAAGAAAATGTGTCTTTAATATAATTTGTTTTAGGTCTTGTCCATAATACAATATCTTTTCGTGACCTAGATCTTAAGTTATATATTTTGTTGTCGGATAAAGTCATCAGTTCTGTCATATAAGTCGGTGCCATGTTATTTAAAGTTTTAAAAACAAGCACCGCCGTGTGGTATTTACATCTGTCAAGGAACGGTAACCAATTAAGAGTTTCGAATAGATTTATTGACGGAGATCTTTGAGGTTGCTGTAAAATGATTTTAGCAATTCGTTTTTGTAACTTACAAACATTATTTCATGTAGTTTGTGTTTCCTTTACCCCATATAATACAACAATAGTCCATAATGGGCAATATATATGAATTGTAAAACAATAATTTCATATCAAAGTGCAAAAATACGATATTTTTTTTAATAAGGCAATTTTTCCGTTAAGTTTTTTACAAACATTGTCAATTTGCATAATTCTGGCTTTATTCATTGGGGAAAAAACGTAACATGTTGGAATAAACAGTCATGTTCATGTCTTGCTCAGAATTTATTTGGGGTAGAACTCAAATTTTGTTGAGAAATTTTCAGATATATAGTACAGAGTAGATCTTATAAAATTTTCACCTTTTTTTTGTGCAAAAAATAGTTGCTTACATGTAGATATAATGGGTGTAAAATCTACTGTGCTAGTAGCATTGTAGAATTCTGTAGCTGGAGGAAAGTCTATTCTCATCCATTGATTGACATTTGTAGGACAATAAATGTCAGGGGAATTAACATGTTAAATAGGGTAACAGCAACATCATAGACAAGGATAATTACTGTTGGTTGTATACAGTGGTATTATAGCTAGTGATGGAAATCGGATGAAATTTGTCCCAATCGATCATCGGTTCAATCGGATGGGACATAATCGATAACTTTTCGATTAAAGTCGCGTTAAAAAGAAATAGGGTAGAAACATTTTACAGTTTTAATCCGATATAGTTAGTTATAATTTTAAGAAATACATGTAGATTTAATTTTCCAATGGCTGTCAAATAATAACATTCACATCACATTATATATCTATTGTTTACATCACGTATTGATCCTATTCAACTCCAAATAGTCTCTGAGATAATTTTTTGCGATCGGCGAGGTGTTCCTAAAAGAAAATTAACGTCAGAATTAATTCCCTTTGATACTTTAAACATTTTCGACGACGATCGCGGAAAAATATATGTGAATCGATTATTGTCGCTTTACATAACAGTAACTGATTATCGGCAACTTGCGACAATCGGAACATCACTAATTATAGCCAATGTGAGGAAGTCAGGAAGTTTATTCCCAATCAATGGCTTATTTGAGTAGGTCTTTTACTCTATAATATGGAATTTAATCCAATTAATTTATTGAAGTATTGATACACTGACTTGTATTTGTCTGAATCTAGCTTTACTGAACTGAGATAATCCTGGTGTTGAAAGTTTTCAATCCCCATCATCGCAGTAAGCCACATTGAATTTCAGCAACCGCAATTGGTTCATGGACAGTCTGTTAAGCATTTTACCAGTACAAGTTGCCTTAACTTTTGCAAGGAACTTATAACTTCTGTACATGTCAGAGCAGAGGGACAGTGTGAGAGGCCTGCACCGCCTGGGAATCGAACCCGGATCAAACAGTGAGATGAGATAATACCCTAGCTTACACTATAAATAACATAAGACCAATTTCAATTTGTAAATATGTACTAAAAAATTTAAACCAGCTTAGTGTTTTAAATTATCTTTGTAAACAGTCGATTTACTGGACTGATTCACAGTTTGCCAATTTACCAAAGGAAATGTGTTGCGATTCATTTAAAATACTGAAATCCTATTGGACAAAAAATAATGTTAAACACTAAGTAGGTAATAGTGTTTGTTTAGTAAGCATTAATTCCATTTATCTGTCGGGCAATTGCACCGCTCTTTAAAGATTTAATTTCATTAATGCTGAATACATTAAACCTGTACATAATGTCAAATTCAAACAGATTTTTTTTAACAGTTGTATAAATTTTAACTTAACAATACATCATTAGATTCATTGTAAATTATATATCAGGTCTTAGTTTTAGTTGACTACATGTACATGTTTTGATCTTTGTCATTTAAAAATAGAGTCTAATGGTACAATTACTGCAGGGGTACTGGTATATAATAAGTAATAGAAAGTTGAGCACCGAAACACGAGGCTATCTGATTTGTACGAGGGGGCGTAGCCCCCTCGTATAAATCAGATTGCCGAGTCTTTTGGTGTTCTTTCTCTTTTGTATCATAGTGAAACATGACAGCACGTTCCCTGTTGTCATAATATGAAACCCCAGAAAAAATTAACCAATGAACGAGCATTTGAATATGATATTTCTGCCCCTTTCCCTTTCTCTGCCGATAATAATTATACAATAAGTAAACCCCAGCAAAAATGAACCAATCAACGGGCATTATCTGGAGTGCGGGTAACTGATACCTGCACTCCAGTTACCGCACTGTGCATGTATATGTATACGATTTAACTCTGACACTTTTTCAACAGAAAGGTCCCCAAACTATGATACAATAATACTATATGAATTTCAATGTAACACAATACTGCTATTAATATATGCTGTGAAATATTAAATGTGAAGGTTTTTAAAGTAAACTGTTGTTATGTGTAAATGTTTGAAATTCTTGAATTTTGTTTTTGCTGGATTTAATTACTCATATGTTTTAGTCTGTTAATCCTAAGATAAGTCAATATGGCATACATGTACAATGTATATAAGATTACATTTTGTGTGGAATTTTACAAATTTTAAGTTAACCGGTACCCTACTTATTTTTGTGAACAATTACTGTATGCATTTATATGTTATTGACTCATGCATTTTAATTTGAAATGTTAACAGTGATTGTTTAATGTATTATAATATTGGATTTGTTAATGAGTATAGAAGTGTGGGGCCGGCACTGGTGGAAATTTTATATAATTATTCTGTATTAAATTTTCAAGGATTTAGATTCATTAGTACTGTAGTATAATGTTATGTCATATTAACATGAATTT